CCCAGAAGAAGCGTATAGTATAGCTTTTATTTTGGAAAGAGACATTTCTCTGTAATAAACTCTCTTTTCAAAAGATGAGTGATTTCTCTATCAGATATTTTTTTTATTACTTTGTTGTTTCAGGAACATTAAATCTAAAAACTGTACTTTTGAGTTAAAATATATATATTTAATTTTTCTTTCGCTCCTTTTCCCGTATTTTTCAGGTAACCTATATTTCACAACATCATAATAAAACTGGAAATTTTGTTTCTGCTGATGCCACCCCAATATTTTTAGTGCCCCCCATATGCTTAAGCCTATAAAAAATTGTGGAGGCGCCCCTGCAACAGATCCGTTGGGTAAAGAATAATTTATTGTCCACTGTCAATAATTTATTATTCTCTTTTTACTTTTTATTAAACACCGTGTGTGCACCAGGTCATTTTAATCCCACCTTATAATCTGTGATACTGTGCTATTTATATTACTGTTCCATTTTTCTTTCATTTATAGTTTTTGTAAATTATGTCATTTTATTAGTCATTTTAAAAATGTATACATTGCTTATTTTTGCATTTTAATTTAACTCTTTTGTTTTTGTAATATTGCCAAAATGGTTACAGTGTATCTTACTGAATTATATACCACTGGAGAAGTTTGTTGTATGTTGTGTTTAACTTGGGTTTTAGCCGTTGTCATAAAGGACTTCCCCAACTTTGGGGGCAAATAAAGTATACATTGTGTTTTCTTCGTATAATATTCATGCGATTGTGAACTGTGCATTCATGAAGTCAGTATAGCTTCGCTGGTTGAGGTCACGGGGCTATTAATGAGCGGCAGCTGTCCCACCCAGGGTTAGATAATCCAGTCTGGGACCAGGCTGTGACTTCAGGCTGACGTGCCGCTCCAGCCCAGCCCATCCTGCGATGCAGCGCCGCTGACGCTGTCCGCTCCGCAGTCTGTCGGTGAGAAAACAAGCCTCGCTCCTCCACAGCTGCACATGCGTTTCACCGAGAACAACACCACCGCCGATCCCGGAGACGAGGTTAGTGCATTAAATTGTGATTTTTGTTGTTTTCTTTTGTGAGCGATTTGGTTAGAGGTGCGGAGGGAAAAGGGCTCCGCTCAGCAGCATCGCGTCGGAGGCAGAAAAATGATCCCTAGCTCGGTCAGATCGGGAGGGACGGCTTTCAGACGATGGTCACCCTCAAACCGCTGTGTCGTGTTAGAAGACGCCTTGTTTTTACGGTTAAATGACAGTTTCAGTGGATGGATGTGCCCGTTTGCCTTCTGACGTGATAAACAAAGATTTATTTTAATCGCAGCAGCACAAAGGCAGCGTGGTAACGGTCTACCACATCATCCATGTTCGATCATCTATCCGCGGCTTCGGGGGGGCCTTGGGCTCCGGAGTGAAGTGCGCGATGTTCGGTAATAAACTGCGACTGCTCGGGATCATCTGCACTGGTGACACCAGCGGCCTGCACATTGCCATCACCATATTGATCCCTTATTAGTAGAAACAACAGGGATACGGGAGCAGCGTCAGGTTAGGAAGATTGTAAAGGGATGACTTCCGCCAAAGATTTACAAAATAAAAGCTTGACTGAATCGAAGAACTATAAACGTGTACAGCAAACACCATTAAAAGGCAGGATATGTGTATGGGATGGATCAAGAGACAAAAA